CACGTCCGGCGTGAGTTTAGCCCCCCGGGTCCGGGACTCGAACTGTGGTCGACTACATGGGAGTCCAGCAACATAGCTATTACGCTAACTGCTGGTCCTAATAAAATAATTCTTTTAAAAAAATAATAATATATAAAGTTAAATAAATAATTCTTAGAAAAAAAGGGGGGGCCAAGATGCCCTTCTTGGGAGAGTAAAAGGAACGGGGCGTATCTTTCTACCCCTCACACTCCCCCACCCCCGTGATGTGACAGACAGCACACGGGACAGCTACACATGAACAGCCTCAGGGCTCCACAGGCAGAGCCAGAGGAAGCTAGGGCCCCTCCCACCTCCACCTGGACTCCCAGGTCAGCCTGCCCCACTCCAGCCTGGCCACGTGTACCCAACCCACGACAGGGGCTGCAGAGAAAACAGACATTCGGGCTCTCTGGCCCAAGCAGCCTGGTCCATCCCACGGCCTGGGAAAGGCCCGCTGGGCCCCTGGCACCCTCCACAGCCCTGTCTAGTTTCGTTTTTTTGCTATCGCATGTGCGCGCTCACCAGAGAGATTGGAGAGAGACTGAGAGAGAAGCGCCCCCCCAGGGGGCATGGCCATGCCACCGTCCCTTCTCCTCTATTCTCCTCTTGGGATTTTTGGCACGTGTGCGCACACACCTGGCGGCTTTTTGAAGCTGCCAGATCTGGGATTGGAACCAGGCGGTCGGTCATGTGGGATCCAGCGCCTACACCACGCCACCTGCTGGCTCACCTGTCTGGTTTCTTCTTCTGGCACACAGGTGAGCCCCAGCAAGGACATCCCAGACAGGAGGGCACAGTAAAGTGAGTTCACACCCTCACTCGGACCAGATAGTCAGAAACAAAAATGAGCACCAGAGGGCCTAGCAGTTAGCGTAATGGCTATGTTGCTGAACTCCCATGTAGTCGAGTCCTGGACCCGGTGGCTTAAACTGACACCAGGACTGACACCAGGTGCATGTGCGCGCGTGCCCACGGTCCTGAGAAGAGAATGAAGGAGATGGGATTGCGGCATGGCCGTCCTCCCTGGGGGGTGTGTGTGATTTCCCGCTTTCTGTCTCTCTGTCTCTCTCTGTCTTGGTCACTGCCCTCCCTCCCAACACAAAACCCTATCAAAAAAAAAAAAAAAAAAGAAAGAAAAAGCACCAGAAATTCATCTGAGGGCAGGCAGGTCCACAAGGTCCAGAGATCCCAGGTCTCTCGGGTCCTCTTTCTCACACCCCCCCTCTCTCCTGCTTTTTGGCACAGCAGGCCACAAAGAAAGGGCCCCACTCCCTCTCCCTGACCAATCCCCCAGCACCGGCTCCCTGTGCAAAGCCCTCCACTTCCCAAGCTGGGCAATCCGGGGACAGCTCCGCCCCAGGGCAGGCGCCATGTGCCATGTGGGAACCCCTGGGCCTGCCCAGGGTAAAAAGAGGCGGCCGAAGAGGCAGAAGCCAGTCCCCCCCGCCCCCGTAGAAGCCAGTCCCCCCAGCCCCCGTGTGTGGCCACGCCAGGACAATCGGCACTGGGGTGTGGGGTCAGCAGGCTGCCCTGCCTGCCTCAGTTTCCCCAACACTGACGTCCGGCCTGCACCATGGGAAGATTCGGGCGTGGGGCCAGGGCGGACACTCAGCGAGTCATCTCAGGACCAAGTCAGGCCGCTCTGATCTGACTTCGGGGTCACGAAGCTCAGGAGGGCTGAGGAATGGAGTCCTGCCACACTTCCGGAAGGGGCTCTGCCCCAGGAACCTACAGCACCTGCACCACCGCTGGTGTCTGAGATGGGAGGATCGGGCGAGAAGGGGTGCAGAGAGCATGGGGGCCCCCAAGAGCGCAGTCCCTGGCTAGAGCGGCCACAGGAGCCCTCCACTCGGTCTGTCCCGCGACAGTGCGGAGCAGCTCTCCACTGACAGAGGAAACCCAGGGTCAGGTCCCAAGGACTGTTTGGCCTCTTGGGGGTAGGGGCACGGAGGAGCGGAGCTCGGAGAGGCGAGGGGCACAGAGGGGAGGGCACAGCGGGGTGCGGAGGGGCGGGGCTCGGAGAAGAGGGCACAGCTGGACAAGCTCAGAGAGGCAGGACTCAGAGTGGAGGGCACTAAGGGAGGGCGGGGCGGAGGTCGGAGGGGCGGGGCTCGGAAGGAAGGGCGGGACGCAGCTCGGAGAGGCGGGACTCAGAGTGGAGGACACTAAGGGAGGGC